TTCAATACACTTCAAGTATTCACTAAAAGTATGTGTAAAAATAAGTAACAAATAATTATTTCCATTTAAGGATGAACTTAATGGCCCCGCCAGAAGATCTGTGCTTTGGCTAGTTCAAAATAAAAGGTTTTTCCCAAGTATATTTTTAGAATTTGTGAGGATTTTTAAAATAATTATCTAACACAATTTTAGTTTACGATCTGCGACTTTTAGGTTATAAACATACAAAAAGAATATAAAACTAAGATAATCTCTGTCCTTAAAACATTTATAGCTGTTCAGAAATATCTTACTTACTTTCAACAAATGAGAAACGGGATAGCCTTAAACATAGGTGACGTTTGGGTTGTCGTTGGGTGATCATACATGTTAAGAAATCAATGTTTATGAACAGCAAGAAAGGGAATAGGCCTCTTAATTGCTATTTGGTAAGCACATTAGTTTTGACCAATAAAAAAAATTTGATAACTGTTAATCTACCTAACCTTATTAATGATTTAAATCTTTAAAAATAAAATTTTATTAAAAACTATTTAAAATATCATTATGGAATTTTAACACAAGTTTTATATTTTAATAATATTGATTCTATACAAATTTTAATTTAATTGTGTCAGTAGCAGCGATTTTATACTGGTTTAAATATAAAAATTTTGTTAACAATTCAATATTATATAATTAATATAATACCTATCTTGATAAAATTTTAACATATTTTTTGTGTATTAATAACTTTGGTTCTGCAAAAAAGTTAATTTAATTGAATCAGTAGTGGCAAAAATAAAGTGGTTTAACCTAAAGGTAAAGTGGTTTAACCTACAGGTAAAGCACAAACACGTACCTAATGGATTAGATTTAATATCCTGGGATATGAGTTATTTAAAAATTTTAAATTCTGTTAGTAGAACAGTGCAAAATCGGCGTTTGCCTATTAGCAATAATAACGAATAGTACTCCAATGGGAAGGTTATTGCTTATTTCTTAAAATCCTCTAAATTTTTTATTAATTTAATTTACAAAATAATGATTTTTTAATTAAACGGTGCAGAAGTGTTCAATCACATGCGATTATTAACAATGGGCACATTGTTAATAAACAATTGATTTTTTCTAAAAAAATGTATAACGTGACTTGATATTACGTACTTGAGAAATTTGTAGTGAATATATAAAGTGTCTATTCTTTGAAGTAAATAAGGTTTCCGTGCGTTGTTTTTTGTCCCTGGGCGCGGATTAAAGGAAGTACAAACATTTTGTCTATTGAACATATGCACATGCTTGTCGAAAAAATCGATGGATCTCATTTGGCAGTGCATATAGTGTCGATAAATACATGCCAAGTCAATTCCCCCATTTCATTTATAACAGTTTGTCGCAATTCGGTCCACACCCACTCCCCCATCAAAAACGAATCCTCCTTGCCGAATGCGTTTTGGGGAAGTTTTATTACGCTTTTAAAGGCTTTCGTCATATAAATATTGTCTTATAATATCCTTTATAGGTTCTTAGTGTAATCTTCTCTAAAAACCAGCCGACAGGAAAAAGCTGTCTTATTGTTAGCGGGGTGCACCTCACACAGGGAAGTCGTTTCGGATATTATTAGGGAGGGACGTTTTCTATTTGCCTTCAATGCACTTATAAGCAAAGAAAATATACTTACAAAGGGGATTTTTTAATTTGTAAAATTTAAATTCAGTAAAATCTTAAAAGGGTGCCTAAAAGCAATGTTTCTGCTTTCATATAATCATTTATAAAATAAATTAAAATTTTGAACGACTATTATCCCGTTAACTTTAAAATCTTAACTTCCTTTATGGACAACTAACCTTAAAGTGCTTAATATTGTATCTTTGCAGCTAAAGTATCGGATTTTTACAACGCGCGCGCCATCTGGTGGAGCTCGATAGCATTATTGAACTACAAGGTTTATCAACAATACATTTAAAGCATACGAACTGCAAACCATTTTTAAATAAATAGGTAGTTTTTTTACAAAAGAGAGGAAGGCAGAAGTCTTACTCCACAAATTTTGTTCGCAAAGTTTAAATTGCACAGCTAAATAGCTCACTTGCAAGAAAAAACAAAATACTTTGGTTTAGTACCTACTCGATTTCCATTTATTATTCCTTATATGAGTACATTAGATGCACAACTCTGTATTTGATCATAAGATCATTTTAGAAAAAAAAATGCAAAAATTGAATAAATAGTGCTTTTGCACCATTTTTATTCAAAAAAGTAAGTTTAATAAATAATTGAAATCAAAAGATTTAAAAACATAGTTCTGCATCTTCCTCGTTCAAAGACCAAGTTTTGCAAGTGAAAAGTGCAAATACCAAAAAATAACAATTAATCAGGTGATTGTTATGTCGTCACGTAATGCGTATACTAGCAACGTAATTGGTCAACAGCAAATACCGAGTTTTGCATCCGACAGGAAGAAACAGATACCCAGTTTTGCATCAGGTTTACTTAGGCAGTGCAGTAATGTACATTTAATTTAATTTAAAGCACATTAAAATAATAATAATAATAAATAGGATAAAATATATATTTTTTAAAAACCTGCAAAAACCGAGTTTTGCATCTAATGTACTCATATCAACGATTAAGAGACTTAAGGCTTATATACATAGTTATGTTGAATTATTGTGTTTTTAGTTGTAATTGTACTGCAACTAAGTCGTTGCATTTTCATGTTTTGCCGAAGGATCCAATTCCGTGCGATGCTTCTTTAGCGTATTGATATTCATTTTATATTATACTTACTTAACATAATTACAATAAGAGTTTATTAATTAATGTAAAATTCATTTAAATTTAAAAACCTTTGCTTTTGCTTGGTATGTTTGTTTATGTATGCCATGGCATAGTCTGCACCACAGACTGACATTGTCAGTAGCCGACTGTTTACGCTCGATTTAAGAGTGAAAGATTTTGATGCTACATTTTAGCGTCTAACTTTTGAGCGTCAAAAGTTGATCACCCGACTGTTTTGACGCCAATAAACCAGCTTCCAGCGTCATCATGAAATGGGAACTTTATCCTTCATTTTTGAAGTTTTAATTTTTCTATGTTTTTTAAGGTTAAAGGTAATGTCAAATTTTTGTTTAAATGTACATCTTTGTACGATATTTCTTGTTGTTCATTAATGGTATCGGTATGGTGCAATGTCTTGGCGTATTAGTAGGAGGAACATACTATACCAACATGTCAGCTACCCTCATAGGAACTTTAGGATTTTTCATCGCAGCTTTAGGATTCCATGCTGGACTCAAGGACAACAACTTAGAGTTGATTTATTATGTCACAATCCTGATTTTTTTGTGGATTTGTGACTGCATTTCTAGGTATTTAGTTTTTAATTTTCATGTTAATGTTTACATTGCGATATTTTAGGCACGTCGACTAATAATATAACCTCTTTTATTCTGACATTTATTTTTTTAAACAAATTAAATTAACTTCAACATGAACAATATTTTGCGATCTATTATAATAGTTTTTAACTCCATAATAATGATAAAATGTGGGTGGAATCTCTACGAGGCAGAAGACATGACGAATTTTGCAACATTCGCTTTTGTTTTCTCAATTGGATTTATCGGAGCCTATGCAGCATGGACTGAAAACAGAGACATCATAACATTTTATTTGGCCTTATGCATCGGATGGATCTTACTAAGTTTTCTAACCGAGTAAAATTTTATCACCTTTTTCTTATTTAATAATAATAATTTTATTTTAGGAAATCGCCTTAATATTGCCATTTGTACTGTAATAAAGATAGTATACACAACGTTAGTGTTTCAATTTTACTGCAAAATTCAAATCAAACTTTATGATTTAAGTTCACTTCTCTAAGATTAAATACCCAATGCTCAGTGACAAAAAAAGACGTAGGGGGTAAAGAAACAGAAAAACAAACTTTAAAACTGTATAAAAATTACCTTGGATTAATTGGAAAAAATTGCAAATGCTTTATGATTTATTAATCATATTTATGATGCTTGGTGCAGCTGTCAAATGTTGGCTTCGGGAACATCAAAAGTCGTGGTATTATTGTTGTAAACTTGTAAAAGAAGATGAAATAGAATAAACAGTGAGGAAGGAGTACAAGAAGAATGACCAGAAGAAGAACCTAACCTATTGACAAAAAAGGAAAAAATCTAACCAAGTGTTGTCATGTTTTTCTTTAAAATATGAAGTGTAGCACTTTAACCGTTTATATTGGTATAATTTACTGTCTCATCCTCTCTGCCTTATGTTTATTTATTACGTATGAAGTATGCTACATAGCAGTCCGCCCGTCTCTTATAGAAGTGGTCCACCAAATAACTACTCAATGTTTACTAATATTTTCAGTATCAAGTTCAGTGTTCTTACTGTTTCTTGCTCTCATATGGTACTACAGGATTGCAACGTTCCTGATAATATGCCCTGCGGCTCTTTCCATTCATTTCAGTCTGCATGTAATCATTATAACGATTATTTACACAAATTTACCTGCCTATGTAGAATCTATAGAAGATAACCTTTATGATGCATATCAAAATAATACTGATGAAGCTTTATTAATTAGCTACCAAAAGTTTTATCGGTGTTGTGGGGCATATGGACCGAGTGATATATTTAATAAGAAGAATATTGGTAACAATTACACTCATTACATTACATTTCATAGTTTAGTTATTTTTTTCCAGATCTAGTGGATATAATACACCCCTACTCATGGCAACTTGGAAAAAGTTGTTGCGTACCTCCAACATTACCATGTAGGAATATGTATGAACACGGGTGTATCGCACATTCAACAGACTTCTTCAGAGACAATTATAGCAAATTGTTTTACTATATTGTAATAACCAGTGTCATAAGTGTACCTTTTTTCATAGGAACCTGCATTTTTGGTTTTAAAAGAGCTAGGAAATTAGCAAACATCCAACTCCACGCCGATTTATAGTTTTACAAACACCGTGTATATAATAAATGTCATAAAAATGAAGGAAAAAAATCTAATAGGTATCTTGAAGTGGGGCTGTTTGGCCACGAATGTGATGGTTTTTATATTTGGGCTGTGTTTGGCTATAATGGGTGCGTTATTGTATAATGTACGAACTTACCCAGACTCAAATGGACCTGTTATTTATGTGACGTTTGGAGTTTTTGTGATGGTGATCTCAGGAATATTGATTGTGGGTGTTATTCTGAATAACAACATTATCCTATTTGTGTTTTCAACCTTAACCATTGCCTTGTGTATTGCTAATGTGGTCATATTCATCATTGTTACGCAACAATGGATGTCTCTAAAGTACTCGAATGAAACCAACAATACCTTACGAGGGCATTTTCAAAATGTTGAAAATGCAACAAGCGAAAAGTTCGTTATGAAAATTCAGCAGGATTTTAAGTGCTGCGGTTTGGATGGTCCTGAGGATTGGTTTGAAAGTATAGCAAACCACACTTTGAAAGATCAAAAATTTTCTGCTGTTGGCGATGCCTGTCGATATGATAAAAGTGATTGCAAGAAATTGGAGGTGTTTGAGGAAGGTTGTTTTAAAAAAGTGTATGTTTACGTTGAAAGCCTTCTGTATGCTTGTGAAATAATTTTGATAATTTCCACACTTTTTCAAGTGTTTGCCGTGGTGGTTTGTATAACTTACGCTGTTTTGGATAAATGGAACATAGTTGTTCTCTACGTTTTATAAATGTTACTATCCATAGAAAAAAATAGAACTAAGATTAAACCAATGTATATCCATAAATATATTTTTATAAAGTTTATATAAACTAATTTTAAAATTAATTAGATATAGTTATATTGCTTTTATTAACAATATTGACATTCTTAATCATGTCTACTAATATACAAACATCTGTAAGCAATTTAAAATACAGCAAATGGAATTCCAAGCGTGTTTCAAATTATATTTTTTCTACGCTGTATGAAAATTACTTGCAAGTAAGAAACAAATACATAAATAAGAAGCAGAAGAAAGTTAGGTTAGACCCGCTTGACAGATGTTAGATTTTATACGACATGCGACTGATGATTTTGGAATACCCAACCCAATTGGTCCAAATTATCAAAAAACTAAAACCGGTAATATAATGCATATTTTGTAACACGTATTTTTGAAATATGGCAAATTCCGCTCGAGTGAAAAGTTTTTATACGATCCGAAAGCGAGTTTGACTGTTTCACGAGAGAGGAATATGCAATTTCAAATGAGTTTCAGACCATATTTTTTTCAAAAAATACTATGGAAAAATAATTTAATTGGGAGAAAGTGACGTCTAAATGCTTTTATATAATAAACAGAGATGTCGCCACCGGTGTTTATTCCGGCATCCGGAATATATGCAATTCCACATTAAAAATTAATATTAGAACGGTCATATTCCGTAATAGAATATAACTCATACCTACTCTCTAAAAATGAATTAGTCAAAAATGAATAATTTAATATTTATTAGTGGCTGCTTTTTCACTTGTACCATGGTTAACCATGGAGTACCATGGTTAACCATGGAGTACCATTGTATCCCAAAATTTAACAGCCAATTCTTATGTAAAATTGTCCGCTGAATCCGAAAATATCGTCAAAAGTTAAAAAAGTAGAAAAGTTTTTGAGATAAACATACGAATTGGCTGTAAAATTTTGGGATACTATGGTATTCCATGGTTAACCATGGTACAAGTGAAAAAGTAGCCACTTATAAATATTAAATTAGTAATTTTTGACTAATTCATTTTTAGAGAGTAAATCAAATTGCTTCGTCTTAAATCCATTTTAATATCAAAAAATAACTCAAAAATCTTCATAAATTTATCTTCATTTACAGTCATTAATTTCAAATTAAACTAAATATTTCTCATTAGGTAATATTTTTTTTTACTGGAATTTATTTTAAATTGCTTAAGTTTTTATTAATGTTGCGTGTAAAGATTTGTAACACGATTTATTGTTTCAGCGTTGTTAAAAACATGATAATAATATTTTTATTAACACAAATTTTAATTTTTAGCGTGCTCAGTTATTTTATATTTAAAAGTAACTAGCTTTCGATATATTCAGATTAACGTGAATGAAATTAAAGTAAAATCTAGTCAACCTGGTTCCACTTTATATTACCATCTTAAGGTAAAAACTTACGTAGTCTTCCTAGATACGAACATAACCAATTTCGTTGACAGTTCAAACTTTTTTACTTATTATAGTGCAATAATTATTATTAAGTAGTATTAGGTACAGCAATCAAGTTTGATAAACGCCATTAATTAATTAATGAGTATATAGAAAAGTTTATAAACGAGGTGCATACTATAGTTTTTTTAAGACAAATACTCATTATTATCTTAAAATGATTTAAATCAAAAATTTGTACAGAGCGCCATCTATGAAACAATAGGGGAATCTGTGTGTCACCGTCAAATGTCACATTTTTATATTTTATAAACACAGATTATAAAGGTTATAAATCAAAACGTATATCTTGAAAATTGACAGTTTTTCACAGTGAAAGTAAAGAAAATGATTTATGAGGACTTTACAGTGGAGTCCGAGCCCGAATTTAAGTTATAGTTTACTGCCGGCGAAATTAAAAGGTCTGTACAATGTTCATATAAACTTTTCAAATATTGGCCTTGAGAAACTATTTAATATTATTATTATTTATTAATATTTTTGTATTGAGATAATAAAATAATTTTTACATTTAGTATTATTTTACAAGAAAGTAGTTAAAGATTCCTCTCCTAGCAGCGTATACTAGAGAAACGTAATAAAGTTTCAAAAACGAACCTAAGTATTCGGAAATATCGGTAATCGGTAATGAATAAATAAATAAATAAATAAACAATCAAGTGCGGAAAGTGTGATAAGTGCAAAAAAGTGCAAGTGTGAAAAGCGGGAGATCCCCTGTTAAAGCCGTAAAAGAGTGCAACTGAATAAGTAATTAAGGCCAACCCGTCCAACTGGTCAGCAGGGATAGTCACAACCAAAGCCTGTCAATAACCTGCAGGGAGGTCCAGAAATAACGGACAGACCGTGAAAGACCTAGCATCAGGATTATAGCCTAATAATCAAGCTAAGTAATTTTTCTAACTGCATGTCTTATTATTAAAAAAAAACCATTTTATTCCAAAAAATCTAAAGTAAAACGTATTATATACCGAAAAGTAAATTTCAAGCCCCAGCAACATTCCTATTGAGACAGACAACACTCAAATCATTACATAAACAAAACAGAAAAGGCAGATAAGACATTAGCTCCACCCCCCAAATAAACACTCGACTAATACCATAAATAAACGCCAAACCATAAATAATAAATAAATAAAATTCCATCCGACGGAAATTGCTTAGTGGCCAGCTTGGCTCATCAACTAGATAATAGCCTGAATGGGTCAACAAGTACATACGCATTAAGACAATGACTAAATAACCACTTACGAACACACATTGAGACATACAGCCCATACTTACAGGATGCGATCCTTGACCAACCCCACCGCTACGCGCATAATAACGACTGGGAACGTAAAACAGAGGCGTACCTAAAGGACCACGCACAAAACGGCTTCTGGCTGGGTTTGGCAACAATAGCAGCATCAGACATATTTAACGTCGCAACCGAAATACATCACGAACAGGGGCGTACACGGAGAGAGGAATTTTGCCGAAATGGCCATCCGGGGTATTGTTGGTTGACGTATCGTGGGTTTGGTCAACTGTTTTATTGGGCTGAGGATCTGTATAGCTAATTTAGCCATACAGATCCGCGGTTTAGTGGGACAGTTGATTGATTTCGCGATGCGTCGTTTGACGGTGCTTTGGATGGTTATTTTGGCAAAATTTTTCTCTCCATGTACTGAGATATCGCCCAGAGTCCTCCTAGAAGGAAAAACAATCACCAAACGTGTCAGGGTGGCACAACTAAAATACTGGGCACATGCCGACCCGGAGACGGACACAGAAACTGACGAACCGGAAGTAAACCAACAAAGATAGGAGTAAGCAAATAACTAACATACCCACCCCCCATTCACGAATACCAATTGAATGGGGGTACTACTAAGGCCTAGGTTCAGGAGGATTCCGGATTGTACTTAGTTTTGGGTCAGTTCAATGTCCTCCAAAAACCCTTCCTAAACTGGACGTATGGCCCGACCCGGCTGACAAAAATCCCGGGAGCGGCCTTAACCTTTGACACTGTCATCCACGAACTCCTAGGGTGGATCTACCAGCCGGCGTAAAAACTTCGGATCCAACAAACACAGGTAATGCTGTGATTTGGCGGGATACGCAGGAGAACGGAAAGGGGGTAAAATAACACCGGGAGATCAGTGGATGTTAATATATCTGGGGCCTGCCATACGTTCCCATACTCATACTCATACTCATAGTATTATTTTACAAGAAAGGCACTTTATTTTAACGATTGTATGACATTTGACAACTGTTAACTAACTTAAAACTAACTTCAGCCCGTGACTAAAAACCTGTTGCTAACTTCAGCCCGTGGCTAAAGCGCCATAAAGCCACAACTTGTCAATGTAAATTTAAAAGGTCACTTAGTGTCATGGAAGCATGTACGTTAAAGGGCGTTTTAAAGGTGGGAGTAGAAAAAACAATTTATAAGTACATATTGTTATTTATTTCCATACAAATTTAACTGTAGTAAGTATAATTGGCTTCACCAGTATTTTTTTTAACTTTATACAGTTTTCCTTTGCTAATACACTCTTAATCCATTGTTTATGTGTTTGTTGCGAACTTGTAATTAATTAATTATTTAAGGTAATTCCAAAACATCTCTGGATATATTTTTTAAATAATCTTAAATTATATAGAAAATAACGCAATCAAAAATGTAATTTTGGCAGATTTAAAGTTTGCAAAATAAACGTTTTCGAAGGAACAACTTATTTAATTTTTTTTGCAATATTTTCTTGTAATATTCACTGGAAATACATTTTTATAACATTTAGCGAAACGCATGCTGTAACTTTTTAGTTTTTGCAAGATGACGCTTAATGAACTAGATATAAACTAAAAAAAATTTCACACTCAACATAAAAACATAATTAAAGAAAAACTTTTATTGAAGAGACTGAATAACTATCGATTAAATCAATGAGCATCTGTACTACTTCGGAAATAAAAAGAAGCGGATTCAAAAAGGCAAGAAAATTAAGCTGTTTACCCAGGTCCCGTAAAATTTGCTCATCGAATCCCTCCCTTAAGGGAAAGACGATGTTCGATTTGTGTCGCGTTCTATGAATGGCATTAGCTTGTGACAATATTAGCTGTTACTTTAGAATATTAAGGAGTTTCTGACATGTTCAATTTGAGCCTGCGACATATGAAGCGCGAATGCTACGCATCTTATATACATATATTTTGCGTAGGCACTTACACTAAACTAGCAAATGATGTAAAGATTTAATTTTAGTATCAGGACCGAGTTTAAAAATGTTTTTACAATTTTTATGCGATTTACTAAAGGAAATCATATCAAAAAGGAAAAATGCATCTTCGTCCAGATCTCGTGATAAATTTATTAATACTTGTACATTTGTAATTATAATTTTTTTCGTTGACTGTATTTTGAGATAACTAATCCTTAACTCCGCCCGGCTATCAAAAATTGTTGTCTTTGTAATAGTAGTTTGGGGCACACCCATACCTCAGTTATTAAACAT